TCGCGCCGGTGGAGGCAGGCAGGCTCGGTGTGTGGAAGGTCCCATCGCGCATTGCCTCCCCGAGACTTTATACCGACGGGTGCCGTGTGTGTGCGCGCTCTGGCTCGCTCGTGTCGCTTCTTGGACTTCCTTCGCCTCATTTGTTCTTTCCGCTCCCGGTGTTCCCCTTCCTCGTTTTCTTGTGCAGGGATATTTGTTGGATTTCGCCCAACCGAGTGTGTCTCAGTGACTTGAGTGATTTTTGCACGCCGATGCGATGTTCTCTCTCGCTGGGTGTTCGCTGGCCCCTTTGCGGCGCTAGTGACCGAGGCTTCCAGATAGGCTGGGGGAAGCTGCAGGCTCTCGAAGTTCCGTTTTTGTGGTAAGTATTATTGTATTTATTTTCCATTTAGGATTTTTGAAATGGAACTTGCGAGTTAAGGAAAGAAAGAAAAGAAAAAGAAGTGATTCTAACGTTTCTTAAACTTTATCTATACATGGAAGGGACTTAAGGAATACTTCCTTCTGATTTGAATAAATTTGAGACTTTGTGACTTATGGACTGTCATGTTCACTTGTGCATATCTTTGTTGTTCTTTCTGTTTTTATTTATCTTTATCTTATTCATTTTCTGGTGATTCTCCTTCTGGCATTCCTTCGCGTTAAATAATTTTCTTGTTCGCCATGTCTCCTTGGTCTTTTATCCTTCAAACTTCTATGACTTTCCAATTTATCGCTTGATAAGTTCTACCGGAGGATAGCTTGAGCAGAAACAGCTGGAGAGAGAGAGAGAGAGAGAGAGAGAGAGAGAGAGAGAGAGAAGAGAGAGAGAGAGAGAGAAGAGAGGGAGAGAGAGAGAGAGGAGAGAGAGCAATGAGAGAGAGAGAGAGAGAGAGGAGAGAGAGAGAGAGAGAGAGAGAGAGAGAGAGAGAGAGAGAGAGAGAGAGAGAGAGAGAGGCAATGAGAGAGAGAGAGAGAGAGAGAGAGAGAGAGAGAGAGAGAGAGAGAGAGAGAGAGAGAGAGAGAGAGAGAGAGGAGAAGAGAGAGAGAGAGAGGAGAGAGAAGAGAGAGACTGAGAGAGATAAGAGAGAAAATTAAAGACCAAGACGAGAGGAGAAGAGAGAGAGAGAGAGGGAGATGAGGAGAGAGAGAGAGAGAGAGAGAGAGAGAGAGGAGTAGAGAGAGAGAGAGAGAGAGAGAGAGAGAGAGAGAGAAGAGAGAGCGAGAGAGAGAGAGAGAGAGAGAGAGAGAGAGAGAGAGAGAGAAGAGGAGAGAGAGAGAGATAGAGAGAGAGAAGAGAAGAGAGAAAAGAAAGAAAGAAAGAAAGAAAGATAAGAAAGAGAGAGAAAAACAGAAGAGAGGAGAAGGCGCTAAACCCAGTCCAACAATTGGGTTTGGAGATCCTGCATCAGCCTGTAATTGCGAGAAAGAAACAGGGCCAGGATGTCCCGCGAGTTCACAAGATTAATGACCCGGTGGTCTCTGGTCACGTGATTCGCTCCATCATGGAATTATTCGTTCCTGATGCATTTGCAAGTGTGGTTGCAATGCGCTTATCCCTTGGTGTAGGTTGATGGTGCAGAGAGGGGAGTGGGGGAGAGGGAGAGATGGATGGAGAGATATAACGAGAATCGAGAGATGGAAGAAGAAGGGAAGAAGAGACAGTGAAAAAGAGATAGAAGATATATAGATGGGATATGATATATAGAGTAGAGATGAGAGAGGGAGAGAGAGAGAGAGAGTAGAGAGAGAGAGAGAGAGGAGAGAGAGAGAGAGAGAGAGAGAGAGAGAGAGAGAGAGAGAGAGAGAGAGAGATGAGAGAGAGAGAGAGAGAGAGAGAGAAGAGAGGAGAGTAAAGATGACAAGCTTACGAAGATTGGCAAATAGTTTTTTTTTTATTGTTTGCAAAATTCAAGGTTTCACATCTCTTTTACATACCTAAAAATATATTAACACGAACAAACACACACACACAGGCACACACAAGATAGATAAATAGATAAATAGATAGATAGATAGATAGATAGATAGATAGATAGATAGATAGATAGAGAGAGAGAGAGAGAGAGAGAGAGAGAAGAGAAAGAGAGAAAGAGAGAGAGAGAGAAGAGAGAGAGAGAGAGAGAGAGAGAGAGAGAGAGAGAGAGATGAATGATAATATTTCCACAACTCACTAATACTTCAAAATGTTTGTGACTGAAGTTAAAAATACTATATTCTTCATTTCCTTTCTTTCTTTTCAAGTGTGTCAATATTCGTCAAAGTATTCGAAATCTCCCGACAATAAATAATATATAATCCAATATATGATGTCATCAGTAAGAGACAAAAAAAATGGAAATGGGTTAATCATTTGATCTAATCGCAATAGATAATGGAAGGGTATTTTCCCTCTTATCCCTAAGTTTCTAAGCCATACAGTTGATTGGATGATTGGATTTGCGTGATATTGATTGGTGTCGCTTATAATTTGACGTAGAAAGGAGGGGAGGAACTCAGGACAAAGTTGTTTTGATAAGGAGGACAAAGGCTGTATGTTCGCTTGTGCTTTAGCGAATACAGAGTATAAACAATAAAGCAGGCACAGGAATGAGCGCTCTTCTTTTCTCTCTCTCTCTCTTCTTTCTGACTCTTTCTTCTCTGTTTGTCTGTCGTCTCTCTGTCTGTCTGTTGTCTGTCGTCTGTCTGTCTCTTCTTTCTGTCTGTCGCTCTCTCTCTTTCTGTCTGTCTGTCGCTATCTTCGTTGTCTCTCTTCCTCTCTCCTCTCTTCCTTCTTCTGTCTGTCTGTCTGTCCTGGTCTGTCTGGGTCTCTCTCTCTTCTGTTCTGTCTGTCTGTCTCATGTCTCTCTCTCGATCGAGAGCGGCAGGTATCTCTCCAGGTCTCCTCTCATCTCTCGTCTTCTCTCCTCTATCTTCTCTCTCTCTCTATCTCTTCAAGATCTCTCTATCTCTCTCTCTCTCAGATCGAATTCTCTTCATGTCATCTCTCTTTCTCATTCACTCACTCACAAGTCAATTCACTCATAGATATGAGTTGAAGTTAGATCCCTACTCCCCAACACCAACACAATTTGCTTAGTGATAGAGAGGTGTCTATATTTACAGTGGATTTACACAGACTATTTAACAACGACACAGACACACAGCCTGGGAGATGTGCGGTTATAACACACACACACACGATCGAGGATGAGAGAATGGATTTCTGCACACACACACAGTCACGGGGAAGTATCACGATGATATTGCACGACGACATTTGACTTATCAAAGTCTGTTAAAGACTCTCATAGTTCGATATTGTTCGGATAGAGACCGGTAGTGACATTACACACAACACACACATAGAACGACAAGAGGCGTGTTACACGATGCGAGGACGACACACACATAGGGCTGTGTATAGTGGATGTTCTCGAGTATTGTTTTATAGATTGTGAGACACACACTCACCAGTGGGACACACACGACAAGAACAATGATTAAATCGCCCACGGAGCCCCCACCTACTCCACTACACTGCATATCCGATTCCCTTATACATACAGCCATTCATGAGGAAAGTTTTCATAACCACATATGCATAAACAGGAAAACAAACTGGCAAAATAAAAACGAAAGAGAGACTTAGGAAGGAAGATAACTCAGCCATGAATGAAATCAACTTACAGAGTCTAGTATTACGCACACGCTCACAAAAAACAGACACACGCGCACATACACACACATTCACAACATTCAGATACATAAGCACATACATACACGAATATAAGGAATGTCACGATGGAGTAGTATACATAGTGATGTAATATAAATATACACGGTTGTACACGTGACTATAAGCAATATAGTAACAGGGATTAATTAAGCATACTACGTACATTCAGAATATAAGGCAGATGACATATAGTACACGAAATATAAGCACGATACGTAACGAATATAAAACACTTATGTAACATGATTACGCATCTAATCACATAACTGTACCCCCACGAACTATTAACAACATACGGTACAACAACAAATATAAGCAGGACATAACATAAACGTGACACGAATATAAACAATACACACTACACGAATATAAAGCACATCGTACACGAATATGTGTAAAGTTACATATGTCACGCAATATTTAAGCCACATATAAGCGTACACGAATATAAACACATACGTACACGAATATAAACACATATGTATATAGTACGTACACGAATATAAGAACATTGTACACGAATATAAGCACCATACTTACAACGATATAAACACATACGCTACCACACGCAGAGTGGGAGGACAATTAAACAACAATACCGTACCGAATAATAAAACCTTATAGTACATGAATATAGACATACAATTGGGAATGGCTTCATACGTACACGAATATAATTACATTCATACGTACTGAATATAAGCATAGCTACGCGCCAGTTCCTAACACGAATATAATTACACACAATCGACTTTAGTTGTGTAGCACAAAGGAAATCATATATTTTTTTTCTTAAAAAAACTCTAAAATAGCATAATTATACCTCTCCATTTTTCTCAAAAATGATGTGAAATATTGAGCGAATTTCGAACTAAATATGTTTTCAACTAATTATTCATTCATAGACTAGGAAGACCACTAGATGAGCTTAAAGGCTTATACAAAGTTTAGGACTATTGGGGAAATAACTTGATCTTGGATACATTTGAAGTCTGATAGTCTGATATCTAAAGTCTGAAGTCTGAAGTCTGATGCTTGATACCTGAAGTCTGAAAACTTAAATCTGAAGTCTGATGAAAGCACTGAATATGGTGAAAAGTCTGAAAATCTGAGGTCTAAACAAGGGCTGGAAATCTGAAAGTTTTGAAAATCTGAAGGTCTGAGAAGCCTGAAATACTGAAGTCTAAAGCTGCAAATCTGAAATCTCTGAAGCTTGAAAAAAATACCTGAAATCTGAATCCTTAAATAATTTCTGAGGTAATTGAAGGCTTGTAATACCTAAAGGAGTCTGGAAGTCTGGCACAGCTTGGATTACCTGAAGCCTAAGCCTGAAATCTGAACGACCTTAAAAAATCTGAAATCTGAAGCGAAGAGACGAAGCTACAGAGGGCATCTCTAAAATTGAGAAAACTTCAACAGTGTTCTGAATGGCAGAATTCAAGATCCATAGCAGAATCACTTTGATACGGCAAGTGATACCTTCGGCAAAGCCCCCGACGAGAGCTAGAGAGTCCATTACATTTTCCCCGTCTTCTCCTGCGGCTAACACAGAACAGAATGAACTTGGTTGCAAAGCAGATCGTTAATTACCGTATTGCAGGTAGATCGGAACGCCCCTAATCACTGCATTGGGTCGTTGTCTTCAGTCAG